AATTTAATCATTTTGATCACCTTTTGTCTTTAAATTTTTTAGGTTATTCAACCTATCTTGACCTAAATTTTTGAGGTCCTCAACTTGATTTTTCAACCTAACTATATTTTCAGGCTCTTTAACTTGATTATTTCGATCAAAATTTATCTTTGAATTTTTTAAATTTTTCAATCTAATTAGATCGTCAGTTTTAGGTTTCTCAACTTGATCATTTTGATCAAATCTTGTTTTTAAAATTTTTAAATTGTCAAGTTTTTCATGATTAATCTTTACTCTTTTTGTAAATAAAACCTGAAAATATAACTGTATAATATTTGGTAAAATAACTAGTTTATTGAGTATTGAACATATTAATATTAAAATATTTATAATGAAATTTAAGAACAAAAAAATTATTTTAAAAAAATTAATTTCTTAACAAATTAAGGCAATAAATATCTGATTTTATAAATTACTAAATCAAAATTTTGACCTACTGTTAGAAAAATCTCATATAAAATTAAGAAAATGCTTACTAATATATGCGAAGAAACTTCATAATTGTAGCTTCTTTGAATATTATAACTTACCCTTATAGATTCTGACACTGATCTTTCTGCAATATATTTGTTTTAATCATTTTTAAAATCACTATTCTGTATGTAGCAAAATATATAAGTTTATATTAACAGAAATAAATTATCTATATTCACATTCTTACCTGCTATTTTTGTTGAATATTTCTGAATATTTCTATCTTTTCTTCCTTTTTTTTCATTCATTCTTTTCTTTTGTTCTTTCCTTTATTTTTCAATTTTTTTCTTTTATTTATTTATTTATTTTGGTAATTTATTCTTGCTAAAGTTCTTCTCTTTCTTCTGTTTAGATATAATTCATTATTACCAGAACTGTAGTTTTGAAGTAATCGTTATTGGAGTCATTGTCAAAATTGCTATTGGAGTTGTCAAAATCACCATTAGAGTTATTGTCGAAATCACTATTAGAGTCATTGTCAAAATTGCCATTGGAGTTATTGTTGAAATCACCATTTGGAGTCATAATTAGAGTTATTGTGTGATTTTGGAGCAGTCTTTAAAATCATTGGGTAGATTTTTGGTCATTTTGTGTTGCAAAATTTTTTGTTACTGTTGGTTTTTTAATTGCATAATGATTTTTATAAGATGTTTATTTGTTTAGCTTTTTTTTTTTTGTTATTAAAAATAAAGAACTTAAAAAAAATTTAATAAATAAAATTATGCAATCATGTGATTGATTTTGATTGGTCAATCATGGGGTTGCCATGGTGATGGCTTACCATAAAATAATGTCTAATAAGTATACATTATTGGACAAACAACAAAAAATAACAGTTAATTTTTTTTTTGTCAGAACTAATATCACTCCATGTGCTGCAAAGCAGCACATGAGTAAAATTAACTCCAATGAAAAAAAATAACTGTTATTTGTCATACGTATGTTTAATAATGATATTATCAAATAGTTAATATAACTATGTGAAGTTTTTTCTGTGATATTTTGCAAAACTGATTACGTAATTTTATGTAAAAATATCACAGTAAAAAATTTCATATGATCATATGAAATGTCAGATAAATTATATATATTTAAACTTTGTCTCTATAAAAAATAATTGTAAGTTTTAGATTTCTTGTTTTATACAAATTTTATATAGCATTAAGATTTCAGATCATATCTATATTAAGTAATATTTATTTTTTAAAATTTAAAATATATTAAATATATATACTATAATAAATTATAAATATAATTATATATTAGTTAATAATAAATTATTTTTTTTACTTAAATTGATTTTGTTTGCTATTTAATTATTGTATTTGTAAATTTTGAAAAAATATAATTTGTTTTGTTTTTTTTTTTTTTTATAAACA